GAGTGCCATGCTGGAGCACGTCGGCTCCGAAGGTTACTGGAAACAGGCCAATTGCGGCAAACGGCCAGAATAAAAACTTCATGCTCACTGGGTGGTATTAAGGAGCAATCGTAAAAACAGTTGAGTATAAAGACAATTGTCTACCGTTGCTCGTGTGCAACTTGCATTTATTTCAACCCCTGATACCAATACTTCCGGGAGCTCAGTGAAATCAATACATGCTGAGCTTCCCAAGAACGGGATCTATCGTGATCACCATTCAGTGACCCTGGTCACCTCATTTTGATAGGCTAGCCAGGGAACGCAACTTCCCATTAGGTGTGGGGAACCCAGTTGGGGAAGGATATTAGCGCCGGAAAAGCCGATGCTCCCACTGCCGACTCTGACTGTTGATACCCCTGCCACGGGTTACCATTGAAGCTTCGCTTGAGAAAGTGCAAATTCATTCAAAGTGATGCTAGCTATATTGATCAAAATGAGTTATCGAAGCACTTTGATTACGAGTCGTGTCCGAAGGAAGGCCCTGTTCTATAAAATGATGCCACAGGATAATCCAATAACTCATGGCTGAATTGCCGAAGGCAGTTATCGAGATAGTATATAAATGCTTTCTCACAATCTTCCCTAGCGTGTTCAGGTTCCCTGTGCTGCTTCAATGCTACTCAAACGTTACTATCGACCGATAGGTTATCAAGTGACTCCCGTCGAGACTTGAAAGGAAACTCAATGATTCGAAGCCCACAAGGGGCCAAAAATGAAAACAGAGAAGATTGAGCCTATATCAATAAAAATTTATTTCATATATGATGCATCCATGTTTTATATAATCTAAAATTAGTGTAGCATCATGTAGGGCTAGTATAGTAAATACTGGGCTCTCCTGATCTTAAATCTATCGAGATCGATTCGCCACTGGTCACGGATCTGATCAGGCGTCAGACCTGCCTCAATGCCTTCGCGAATCATCGGGCTTCCTACCAAGACGTCGATGTCGTACATATCTGCCACCTCATTATTGGACCAAAACTTCCAATGAAAGCTTCCAGTGATGTCCCCGTCTCCGCTCACATCATTGGTGGCGTAGAGCTGCCTCGCCTTCCAAAGCAGGGACACTCCTACATAGACCGGATCAAAAGACTCATACGCGCATTTGTTATTCAGTCTTGTGTATACTTGTAAGCCGCATGAAACGTTACCCTGGAACTTGGAGGTTGTAGGTGTAAAACATTGAAAACGATATTCAGTCAGGGGTATCTTCAATTTTCGCATCTCCGAAGTCCATGTTTCATTAATCCACGGTGCTCCAAGAATCTTTGAGAGTTAATCACTGTTCAGCTCTCGAACCTCGTTCTCACACGTTCTCACTCACCTCAAATGGTTTTGTGGTACCACGACCTTCTGATACGGATGTCCCTTCAAACATGCATGTGCCTGGGTACAGCAATGCGGCGTCTATAGTGGGCAGGTCTTCAAGATTATCAATTAGGGTTTAATACTAAGGGTGAGATGGCACGTACTTGGACTGGGAATTACCCAAGGTAGTCCGGTATCGTCGAAGGTCATTCCTCGGCTCCATCCCTTCATTTTGATAACTTCCAAAGACTTGAGAGCCTCACCACCAGCGCTGTCCTGGATCCATCCCTCGCCTACAAACATCTCAGCAAGCTCACCAATAGTCATCCCATGCGACTGCGCGATAGATCTGCGTCCAACATATGAATTGACAAAGCTTTCATTGAGCACAGGACCAAAGGCATCCACACCAGTGATGGGGTTTGGACGGTCGAGAACAACGTATGAGGCGCCACTGAGGGCTGCTGCGACCATAGTATCATACATTGCCCAAGCATCTATTGCTTACATTAGTTGTACCATTGACGTAATATCTATGCGAATAAGGAAACCTTACAAGTATAGAATCTAGCACCAACGTCCTGGATGTCGAAAAGTACTGTATCAGCCCCTGAGTCTTCGATATAGGATTGCAGGACTGTGGTGTTCTGATTATAAGCATCCTGCATCATCGTTTTAAGTTAGATAAACTAATGCCGTCTCTCGAGGATTGCTTTCCAAGTTAAAGCTACAAGCAGAAACATACATAGACAGTAAGGCCGGTTTTTGCATCAGTAAATGTCAGTTCACCACCACCGTTCTGGGAAGTTCCTCGAAAGCCATGCTCTGGTCCCATAACTCCAACTAGCTGTACGAAGCCAGAGGCGGCCATCACATCAACACCGAGATCGAGTTGGGGAGTCACGCCGGTGGGATTGGAGAGGACTAAAACCTTCCTCCCATTGAGCTGTGAGTAGTTTGATTGTATCAGGACATCGAGACCAGTCTGCACCTTCGGATTCTTCAAGAAGGCCGAAGCAAAGGTGAATAAGAGGACATGCAGTATCAAATTAGTCTGCATTTTAATTGACTCTATTATGGTGTCTTATCAATTTGAAAATAAGCATAAAGACAGGTTTGTCAGAATACCAGTATTCCACTAATCTGTACCTTATAAAGACTTCTTGGAGGCTTGAACTTCATATAAAGAGGACCGACGCTATATAGATAATACGCATATCTGAGGCCTCTTTATTAGTCTTGAGCGGAGGACCTGCTGATCACTTCCAAAAGGGGTGGCGGGACTCCGTGTTGACGAAAGCACGGAAAACCCGCGCCGGGTTCGATAATCGTTCTTGGGAAGGCGCCAATAAATTATTACGAAGAGTTGTGCATGAGTTATTCGAAATCTTTCAATTTGCTTTGCTAGCCAACCATCGCGCCCCTTCTAAGGCCGGCATGTCAACGTTCATGACCCAACCAAACTCGACGCCGTTTTCTGATAGTGCTTTCCGTACCATATTATTGTACAACGGACTTTGTAGCAGGCCTCCAGCCATGATCAGCGCAGTTTTAGATTGCTCGATGCTCTGACCTTCAAGCAAATTCATCACGAGCTCAAGGAGGCTCCGCGATCCCCTGTGAAGAATTCTTTTTGCCTCTTCGTTCGACTCTGCCAGCGAAAGAACTACTTCAGCAACTTTCGCTATTCGCTTCGTTGGAGGTATGCTTGAGTTGGGATTTGGAATATTTTGTGATGGATTTGCTAGATTGGGAGCGAGGATAGTCGATAACAAATCCCTTGGATTGAAGCCTTCTTCCCTCTCTTCGAAATATGCAAACACCGCTTTACTTATAGCGGGTGTCTCCAACACATCATTATCGGCATGTGGTGTCTGCCTTAGCAAATCGCTTGTTTTCAGTGCAATACCCAGGGCCTCTTTGCCGATCACAAAACCTGAACCATCGTCTCCTAGGAGAGGTCCCCATCCGCCAACTCTGGCTGTTCTGAAGAAACGATCTCTTTTGCGACTATAGCTCATCGCAATAGATCCAGTTCCTGCTACGAGCACGATTGCTGCTTCGGCGAGAGGTTCTACCGCTGCTTTAACGGACAGAATGTCTATATCTGTAGAGACGGTCAAACGCGGCCCAATTGGAATTTTGAAGAGATCAGATATTGTCGCATCAACTATTGGAGCAAGGGAGGGCCGATCATAACCTGCCAATGCGACCCAAGCAGATGAGATCGGGATATCTGACAACTCTTTGAATGCTAGGTCTGCATGCTGGACTAGCGCAGATTTAACAGCTGATGAGATAACTGAGACGGCAGCATCGATACCTATGGTCAAACTGGGTTCAATGTTCAGCAAAATGGGCGGCGAGGATCTGGCGGAGAAACCGCAAGCGATATAAAAAGCGGCTGGTGTAACTCACACATTGCACGGTCCGGCTTCTCCAATGGCAACGATGCCTGAGGAGCTAAGCAAGGCAGCTGTGCAGGATGACCCTCCTCCATCAATGGAGAGATACCATTTGACTGGAGGTGGATGGCCGGTCGAGACGGCCATCTTGCTCTCCATCTCATCCATCCGGCGCCGTATGCTATTAGAAGTGAGGATCGAGTCGTGTTCAGGAAAATACCCTCTCTTGAGCCTTCTCTTGATTGGTGTGTGCGAAGGCAGCTCAGAAGGTGTGATCCAAGCCTGTGGTATCACTTGGCTTGATTGGCATCGGTCGGCATGTCGCAGCCGAACGTATGCCCACGTGCATTTGCAGGTGAGGAGGCGACCAGATAACAATAGATCCTGGGCTTGCACACGAACCGTAATGGGGCATGATAGTCAGCGTCGAGATAGGGATGGTTCCATGCTGGAGATAGCTGTCCGATAGACGAGAATGGAACCACAAGTGTTGACAGAATTACCAAATGATGTTACCTGGGTAGTATGAGTTCCATCTTCCATCTGAAATACATTGGCACTAAGGCGTACCGTAACCAGCTTATATCAAACAGGTGTAAGCTTGTTAGCACTAAGGTACTTTTGCTAGTAGCCGGACTGAGGTGTTTCGTAGCGAGCGACGGATAACCCGACCGGAAGAACGGCTGGGAGAAGTGGGGCCCGCCGGAGCTAGTCCCACCCTTATCGGTGGTGGGGCGCTACCCCGACATCCAGGATCACTCGGTTTTTCCCAACTCCAGGGCCTACATGTAAGAATATCTTGTCAAAGGAGGTGGTGTCGAGAGGAGGCAGGGAGCAATGGCACATGTCCTGATATTCTGCATATATTTCGACCCCTGATCTGCACCCTTCGCGGTGTCACCGACTATACTCTGCATTACTTCAATCATTTTTCATTTTGGTCTTCTCGTCAGGTCCCTGTTCTTGTCTGCACTCCTGTAAACTTGCTCTCTTTTCACGATGGAGGCCAAATCTGAAGTTGCGCCGCAACCGGAGGCTCCAGTACGCTCTGGTACAGTTGACCATGCCGACCCATCTTCATGGCAGCCTCACGCTTCACGACTTGTCCGTTTCTATGCCCATCCGTGGACGCAAATCAATCTGATCAGTGCCATCTTCTTTTGCCTGCCTGGAGTACGTATGACTAGCTATTTTGCACTATATGTTTCGCTCGCAGATGTGCCTATACTAACATTACTCTAGATGTACAACGCTCTGGGTGGACTCGGAGGCTCAGGCCAAGTTGACTCGACCGTCGCTGCTAATGCCACAGTGGCCCTTCTCTCTACAACCGCGGCCACGGCACTCTTTTTTGTTGGACCTATATTCTCTTACACGGGGCCGAGAATCTGTTTTCTCATCGGCGGCTGGACGTACAGCTTGTACAGCGGCTCTTTGCTTTGCTTCAACCATACCTCCAACGGATCTTTCGTCATTGCCTCTGGCGCGATTCTGGGTATCGGTGCTTCTTTCGTCTGGATTGTACAGGGAGCCATTATGACAACATATGTCTCTGAAGCTCAGAAAGGCAGGGCCATTGCTGTATTCTGGATTATTTTTAACCTCGGAGGCGGTATTGGCTCATTAGCTTCGTTTGGACTCAACTTCCACTCCAAGAGTGGCACCGTGTCCGACTCAACCTATATTGCTCTGATGGTTATCATGATATTTGGTTGGCTATTAGGGGTTTTCATTTGTAACCCTAAGCGTATCCGTCTCGCACAGCTTCACGCTGCTACTGAGACCGAAAGGCACAACTTGAAGGGAACTGTGCAGATCGCCATACAAACTCTGTTCAAATGGCGAGTTCTGTGCATGCTGCCTCTTTTCTTCTGTGCCAACGTCTTCTACTCCTACCAGCAGAACAACGTCAACGGCTACACATTCAATATTCGGAGTCGATCTTTAAACGGTGCTCTCTATTGGATGGCCCAGATGCTCGGTGGTCTTATCATTGGCTTCCTTCTGGATATGCCCTGGTTCCAGCGCCAGACGAGAGCGCGCATTGGATGGGCTGTCCTTGCGGTTACGGGCATGGCTATCTGGGGCGGAGGCCTTGCCTTCCAAGAATGGGAGGATGTTCGTCTCGCAAACGGCCACAAGCAGGACCTGGACTATACCGACGCCAAAACCGCCACAGGTCCTATCTTCTTGTACATCTTCTACGGAATGTACGATGCACTTTGGCAAGGCTTCTGCTACTGGCTGATCGGAACCGAGTCGAACAGCCCTGCCCGTGCTGCCGTTCTTGTGGGCGCCTACAAAACTTTTCAATCTACTGGGGGAGCCTTCGCTTGGAGGATTAATGCTCTTAAGAAGAGTGGTATGACTCAGCTTGCAATGGATTGGGGCCTCTGCATGGGAGCGTTGCTGATTGTACTACCAACCGTATGGACTGTAAAGCCACACACTGGCCTGGAGCAAGAGGCAGGATTCATCCCGGAAGACACAAAGAATGCGGACCAGGCATCTGAGAAGGATGTCGCACGCGTCTAATTAGTGATTGAGGATGGGAGTACACGACACGTGTGCAAACCATACAATGGCACGTGCTCCGGATAGGATCTGAAGATGGAGTAATGCAAAGATAGAACGCCGAACGCACTCCGCATGCGAAAATACTTAATGGAGAGATTGTTTCGCTGTAAATTTTGAATAATAATAACGTATGCTTACTCTATCGTGTGAACATTGTGCTGACGACGGCAACAAAAGCCTCAACATCGGCGAGCAGAGCTGCGGGCTGTTCCAGCGCAGCAAAGTGGCCACCCTACTCCAATGTCAGTTTGTGGTTAGACCTGTATTATGCGGAGGGAAGCAACCTTTTCGTGCTCATTCCAATAGATTAGGTTTGGATAGCTCGCTTCGATCCATAATTTTGGAGACACTGATATCTCAGCAAGAAAATCCGAGAATCCAAAAGGTTTTTCCTTTGAAGTAGGCATCGGTTTGCCCGCACCGGCTAACCCCAGAACGAAACGATATGAATAGATACTTCTCGGTAGTGTAGAGGTGAACCAATACAACGTAACGCTAGCAAGTATTGTTTCCAAAGATGGTACCTCATCCGACCATTCCAAGAACTTCTCTCCGATCCTGGTTCATGAATCAGCACGGACAACAGGAGGTTTTGCGGAATTTGACTCTAACCAAGCAAGGAGAGCGAGTGGGCTCGACGAGATAGCTAATCCTACGGTCGCTGGCCGGGTAGCTTGTTCCAAAGCGTATCCATATCCGCCTGCGCGGAACCCGTTCGACCGCTCTAGCTTCTTGGTGTCCCTCTCTGACAGCATCTTTGGGTCTTGCATCTCATGATCTAGAAGGACAAAGACATTTGCTGGCGTCTACAATTACTCATAGCCTTATCATGAGCTTCAGATCTGGCCACTCACTGTGAAACGCTTTGCATTCCTTATGCTGAAAAGACATGATTCGAGCCAGCATAGAGCCAATATCTCCGCCCTGTGCAATGTAGCCGTTTTCGAATCCGAGGTTAACCATGAGCTGGTTCAAAACCCGAGCTACATCAAGTAAGGTGAAGTCCTTGTCCACTGGCGGGCCAGACGACATGGCGTAGCCAGGTGAAGACGGCACAATGACATGGTACGGCAAGGTATCTGGCGTGTACTTTTTTGATAGAAGTTCCAGAATCGGAAGGAACTCCATGAATGAGCCCGGCCAGCCGTGCATGAAGATAATAGGAATTGCTTCTTTTCTAGAAGAGAAGAGCGCAGCGAAATGGATATCGAAGTCTCCGCACTCAGAGTCATGTACTCGCATCATGAAATTTGGGAAGGAGTTTATGCGCTCCTCGTGGATGCGCCAGTCGAAGGTGTTCAGCCATGCATCTTTCGCGTCACTTAGCCATTGTCTCGAGATTCCAAACTCACCGTTAGGATGTAAATTCTCATATGTCTCGGGTCCGATCTTGGAGGCTTTCAGAAGTGTCTTGAAGTCTTGAATCTCGTGGTAGTAAACACGAAGCGTATACGGCTCCGGCTGGACCTGGGCTTGCGGTGGAACCACAGCGAACGGTCGTGGCATTTTGCGAGCTACCAAACAGACTGGGCGAAATTTATGTGAGGAGGTATTTGGTTTTGTTAAAATCTGACCCTTCTGACTCAAAATCTATTCATGTTCGAATTGAATGAAAGAAGGGGCGAGGTCTTCACATTTCTGCGGGAACATTGACAACAAAGGGCGTGATTGACCGCGATTCCAAATACGGGCTTTATTGCCATAGGATCTAGATCCTCCAGGTCCTATATCACCAGATGATCCTGAAAATTAGATAGCTGCATTCCTTAGTGTAGATAGCCTTCACGTCATACTGTGGAAAGAGAAATCACTTGTTCTCTTTTGCTGATGGCTATCGCAGAATCCTTGATTTTGATTCGGCTTTCTCTTCACTCTCGCCATTACACGGCCACTTCGGCATGCGGCTGTATACCATAGGAAGTACAGTGCTCGATGTACAGTATAATACATGTACGGCCTCCCATACTCAGAAGACCCCACCATTGTTAGTGCGAGGCACAGCGCCAACGGAGGCGGATTTTTAGGGCGGCCGATCTGCGAGCAAGCGCCACTCCAGACTTACGAGTTGCCGCATCAGCCCCTGTTTCAGCGGGCTTCAACTTGACAACGACTCACAAGATGGTGAAGGAACAAACAACAAGCCCTCACACTCGTCAACACGTCCCGAGGCGTGCAGGGATCAGGCCTAGATTACGCAACTGGCTAGTGATACTCGTCTTGCTCCTTACAGGCGCGTTGTGGCTGAGGAAATGGCCTTCTCTGTGGGCCGATAGCTGGGCACCGACAATGGAGCCCTCGGAGCTGTCGGCGAGTCAAAAGGCCCGCCTCCAGCGAGTCGCGGATCTTATGCTCGATATCTACAAGACCCTGGCAGAGATGCGGTACCTTGATGAAGATGGCATTCAGATTGGACCACACGACATCGAACAGCTGCTGCCAGCTTACAAAGAGCATGGTCTGGATGGGTCGATTGTGTATCTGTACAGCATCTTGCCGTATGTCGATACAGACCTGGCAGGCAACTATGATTTCCTTCAGGGAGGCTCTTTCGCGGACTTTCGCAATCCCGAGGACGTTGAACAGGGCAGAGATCCATTCTATGGCAGCCCGGAAGGCGACGACTTTGATGACGAGAACGGGCCTTACATACGCCCTTGGGTGACACCCCTATCATTGCTGGGAAACCATCAAAGTGTCATCATTTATGATGCTAAACAGCATAGGGTCTGGATCATTGACCAGGAAGGGTGGGAATCGACAGATCTCGCGTTGAGCGACGCGAGAAGTGGTATACCCCTGAGTAGAAATCGAAACGCCTTCGAGCACATTCCTAGCCGTCCAGCCGAGGATGTTTTGCGTGACATTAATGCCTGGTATCACACGCTGCAGGTACTCCCTGGTGGCGAGCATAGCGGTGGCGAATGGAACGACTGGGACATGGACTTGAAAGGTCTTTACCGGAGAAATGGCTGGCCGGACGATTTTGATGGGGACGCGTTTCAAATAGGCCAGGCACGTGAATACTGTGCATCAAGTGCGAAGTATTCTGCTGAGGAGCCTTTGAGGCAGGTGGAAAAGTTTAGGTCATGGGCCAAGTATGCCGATCGGAACATTGAGCAAAATCTTCGAGCGTTTGCTGAGGCAAACACTAAAGATGAGGAATGGACTGCAAAGTTCAACCTGTGGAAGTCGGAAAGATCGAAAACGAGGAACGAGAAGGATCTGGCAAAGGCAGAAGAAACAGCCAAGAGGCTTTGCCCAGGTGGAGTATGCCAGAAAGTTGACGACCTCCCACTATGGGAGGCTGAGATATTGCGGCATGAGAATAGATGGAAACAAGAAAGCGTGGGCAATAATGAGGATTGGGCCGAGAAGGTCAGGGATGACCCCGACCGCGAGAATCATTTTCGAAAGGAGCAGCAGCGCGCACAGAAAGAGGCTGCGGTCTACCAGCAGGCCTATGAGGCTTCCAAGGCCGACGCAGACCGACTGTGCCCTGGACGGACATTTGAGTCGGCCACAGGTATCAAGAGCCTCGGCCGACAAGATACTCTTACAAGTATCCAGAATCAAGATGAGGTGATAGCTCGTTTACAGATAGAACTCGAACAGATAAGGGAATGGGCAGAGCAGATTCCCAAAGATGCCACCAAAACGAAAGAGCAAGTCGGATACGAAGTGGACGAGCTCGAGCGGTCCATTGATAGGGCACAACAGAGTAAGAAGATGCATGAAGACTGGCTTGCGGAACATGGCAACACCGATTAAGCAGCTTATGTAGATATAGAAAGCAAGTGGGATTTGCCTCTGCCAGAATAGGATTGATATAGTTAGTGCAAAAAGCACAGTGTTTCATTAAGATGATAAACTAGTTATAGCTCGATGTGTATTGAGCTGTTCAACACATCGTACTCAGGCTGATCAATCACAATCGACCCCATCAAGCTTCCATTCTCATTGAACCCATACGGCCAACCACCCGACAGCTGCAGCCAGATCGATTGTAGGCTTATGGATTTTACTGAAGTATCACATGTTGCAAACTTCACTGAAGCTTGGAGGTTTGGTAGGGAGATTAATGCGGGAAACCCATCACCAGGTTGAGGTCGAAAGTCGTCTGCGGAGTCATCGTCCAGGTGGCTCGGTTGCCTGCTATCCCCGTGGCCAAATATGTTTTCATTGACCTCTCCGAGGTATGCGGCCTTGTATAAATCATGCATAACATTTAGTACAGTAAGCCACTGCCTTGCCGCTTTCCAGCTAGAGCCCCAAGACGACACGAGGCGATGTCCTAAGTCAAAGTAATACTTCGCCTTCCGCCGTGTCTCCTCGTCACACATCTCGTCCTCAGCGTGTTGCAGCCAGAGAAGTATGTTTGCGACAATGAGGATCGAGGAAGCCACCCAAACGGTTTGCAGCATTGATGCGTCATTTCCTTGATCCAGATCCATAAGATACTCCAGCATTTCGCCGATTTTGAAGGCGTTTGAGACACAAGCTTCGATCATTATGGGGTCCCTGTGTAAGTAGGACAGACCAGCGCCATCAACAAGATTGACAAGCTTGGTATACATGGTCAAGTGGGGCAAGTAGCACTGATGGGCGATACAAGCAGCGCTACGTATTAGAAATTGCATCGCGACAAAGAGCCTCGATTGACCCAGAACGCATTGGTTCTTATAATTCTGTGCGCTCCAGAGAAGGCTATGTGGAAGCGAGGCAACCCATGTCTGGAGAGCATGATTTCTGAGAAAGAAGAGGCTTCGCGTATCACTCGGAGGGTATGCATCCCGGTGCCTACGAGAGTGCATGGCAAAGTCGGCTAATTCGCTAAATATGGAAGTGGTCTTGATGAAGTAAGGCGTTATCCCGAGCTCTGAAGGACGTTGATAAGCTGCCAGATTAGATAAAGTGACTCCCCGTGTTTCTTCCTGGTAGAATAGGCACTGGTCAGTCCCCGGAAGCGCGATCGATATGTTGTCTAGATCGATGGTACGATGCTTTCCAAGAAAATATGCCAATGCTCTGTCGAATAGGAGGCACGCCCAAAATGTCCTCCTGCGAATCTCTTGTTCTTTGAGGCTGTGTTTTTGATGGAACTCTTTATTGAGGCGCATGATTTCAGCCATGCGTATAGCTGTGCCCGCGAATAGCCAATGCCGTGACCCAGAATTCGATAATAGCTCAGCCATGGCCAATATAAGGTTGCCTTGGATATGAGAGACTTCCATATCATGTTAGCCGTTGAAGTAACGGGAGACTGTACAATTGGCCGAACCTACCGCTTGGTTCATCTGACGTCGCTTTAGCTAGGGATCGGGCCTTCTGGATAAAACATCTTGATATGTCTTGGCCAGATGATAGCCCAAATGTGGTTTGAGCATCCTCGGCGTAAATGTAACGTCCGCATAGGGAAACAACAGATGAAGCTATGAATGGATCCTGCATGCATTTCTGTTCAAAGTCCGGTCGAAGATCGAAAGAGCAGAAATCGTTGGCAAAGTGGCGCTCGAAGAAAAGGTCGAGACATATCTGTAGACCTTTGGGCTCAAGTTCAGGGGCTGAGATGGTCGATGATGGTGACGCCCCGAAATTCTGGATTGGACTCACAACCTCCAATGGCAAAGGAGGTCCCGGATCATACACGACGTCCGGAATGGACCAAACACACGGCACGTTCTTGGATCGACACCGTTTGCAACGAGGCCGAATGCCGTCGCATTTCGTTTTGCGACGGCGACAAGTACCGCACGCCTGCGGAGTCCTTGAGAATGTTCTGCTCATTTTCGACTTATAGGATGACGGCGGAATAGCCGACCAGTTTGTGTAATGTTCGCAGATTGCGGGGGTTGTCGCATGTGGTGGGTAGATAGTGGTCTCTCTTCATCCTGTGGGGCCATGGCATCGGGTTATCCACATGCCTATCACATTGCCGCGAGTCATAGAAATCACAGGTCTGAAGCAATGCGTCGGATAACCCGATGATTTGCTAGTGCTTCTATACCTTATCTCCAGGCAAACTAGCAGAGATGAGCCCCAGCGTCCTATCAGGGCACTGCAAGGAGAACACAAGAGACACAAGGCTGAACCAAGGGTGAAGCTATAGAGCCTGTCTGTCCTGGGTGTAGCAAAAGTGTGTATATATCTATCTAAGTAGTAGTAGTAGTACAGAGGGTGGTAGGTGGCTAAGGTAGGTGGGTACAGGTAGTGGAGGTCATATGACCCAACATGCCCCCCTCCAAGAAGGGTGACACCTGTCCTCGGGTGTCTAATTAAAAGTATAAAATAATGTAAACAGTATGTGACCTATCCTCATAACCCAACATACCCCCCTCCAAGAAGGGTGACACCTATCCTCGAATATCTAATTAAAAGTACAAAATAATGTAAACAATATATGACCTATCCTCACCAACCTCCCAGTTACTTATTATCCTGGTTTTCTTCGTTATCAATCACCTGATTATCTCCCGTTTCTTGGTTACCATCCTGGTTTGTGTCTTGACTGTCTCTAGCTTCATGATTGTCGTCATAGTCGTAAGGTCCCAGCTGGAAGGTCTACTCCTAAGCAGGAGGATATAGTTGGTTTTTGATGAACTTCTTATGGTCTGCCTTCATCTTCTTCTTCTCCTTTTCATTATATACGAATGCTTTGGCTGATAGATATATAATATTCTCACCTTTACTATCTATAAACTTATCGATTTTATTATCTTCGTTGTCGTTAGTAGAGATTTCGTCTTAACTGGAGGTATAGTCATTACCAAAGACTATATATAGTTCTGGTAGATAGTCTCCGACGGGAGTAGCTGATATAGCGGTAATAAAGACAACCAGAGGTATAATATTTGCCTTTTTCATTAGGGTGACAATATTATCATCGATAGGGAGATTATTCTTAATGGTCGTTTTAAGAAGGTCATAGAGTATATAAGCCTTTATCTTACGTTCATTATTTTATGTCTTAAAGATGGTAGGATTCTCCACTTGTTTAGAAGCATCCTTATGGTAGAATTCCTATCGATTCTCTCCTTCTTTAGTTGCCTTTCTCTTAGGTAGATCATCTAGGCGAAGGGGCGTATAGTCCCTCTTGTTGGGGCAACGATATATATAATGACTCTAGTGATAATGATGACACTTGAGGTTATTGTACTTTTGCTTCTTATATATGATGAAGCATTTACTACAAACAGTCTTATAATATTATACCCTCTTATTGACGACTATATCGAGATTCTGCAGGTAGGTATAGATGCTCTATATAAGGTGCTCCAGATATCGAGGAGGGCTCTAGTGGAACTTCCAAACGTTAGAGTCGAAGACGTAGATTTGTCTAAAGTGGGCGTAGGTGGTCGTTATATTCATGACGTTAGGGTCGGAAAGGAGTGAGCCTATATTGATAGAGTGAGTATAGACTAGGACGACAATATCCACTTTATATCCTATAGCTATCGTGACGGTATAGATGTCAACTATGTTAGGGTAGTATTCGTATATTGAGAGTTAAGCAAAATAGCCTTTAAGGTTTTATATTATAGTATTATAAGATGAAATAATGAGGATGCTGGCTTGATTTTTGTTTAAACTATAGATGTTTATAGTGTAGATCTATATGATAAGCTATATAATGTATATTGCTATGATAGGGTTCTAGACGTTATGACCGATGATCTTCTCCTAGCTATGTTCGATATTCACTCCGATTTTAACACTTATAAAGTCATCCTTTTGGATGATCACCTATATCAGTCGAACTGATTTATATAAGGCTAGATGATTCTCTTTAGGGTTATAGAGAGAGTCTAAAGATGAGTAGTAGATAGCGTCGGATGCCTAGGTCTTCAATTTACCATATGACTGATGGTTGATAAGCAGCCAATTGACTTATTGTCCGGCCTCCTCCTAATGTCAAGGAAATAAGTATATAAGCTGACGGATGAAAGGGTTAGAATAGTCAGTATCCTTTTCGGCAAAGACTAGATTCTAGATTTGAAGGTAGTCCCCTATCAAGAGGTAAACCTTAACTAAATCCTTAAAGGCTATAAAGAGAATATACTATTTAGTCTCAACAATATGACTAGCTTCTTCCATGATGGTTATGGTAGGGTAGAATACCTTATAAATAGAGAGTTGATATATTATAACAAATATACATATAAGGGCATCTACAGTCGAGACAATATAGTCAAAGACTTATGTAAGATGCTCGTCAAATAGCTTTCTTGCTTATTATAAGAAGTCCTAAGGGCTTCGTCGACGATAGTTAAGGCTTACGAGAATATTGATATAGTTAGAATCTATATAGATTTAGTGTCAGACTATCTCTATAACCGTCATAATACTGCCATAGAGTTTGAACTCGAACTTACCTATACCCTAGTTAAAGTCTTATATATCTTCGGATGATAGGAGGAGGTCATATTGATCGACAAAGTCGAGTTTATCGTTATCATCAAATGTAGGTAGGTCTCTATCAGTATCAGTATAGATAATTGTAGAATATTCATAAGGGATGATATTAAGTCGGTAGATTTTAAGGTCTATATCTATAGATTTTGCAAGTTTATAATACTTGATCATAGTATCGTTTATATTCTTATTCTGATTGCTGACGAAGATGGCCTTAGGGATATCTGGCTTAGTAGGCTTAGCGTCGATAGACGTTAGAGGAAAAGCGTTTGTATCGAAGGTAGTAGCATTATTTTGTTCAGTATTTTCCTTATCATCTTAAGTGATATTCTGATTAACACTTTCCTAACCTTCAGTTA